TGCTAGGTATGGTTGTATTTCAGATGCATTAACCTGAAACCAGAGTGCCTTTGGGGGCTCTGATGCTCTCCTTCACCTTAAGATCTGAAGGGCTCCCTCACTCATCCCCATCAAGTAGCAGGACCATACAGATCAAAGTATGACCTACAGGAGACCAAAAACAAAAGAGGTGAGGCTTTGGGAGGAAGGCAAGGAGTTAAAAAAGACCAAGAAGCTGTTGAGAAGGAGAAAGGAAGAGAAGCAAGGAGGAGCCTTGCTTTTTCCAACCTAAGGGAGGGTAACCATAGCATGAGTCTTAAGAATCTAGGACAACGGTCCCATACCAGCAGATTGTCTAAAGGGACAAGTTCAGAGTCTGGAGATTCCAGTTCCAAATCTCCCATGCCCCATGGGCTTTGTGTGGACTTTCAAGCCTGAAATAAAGTCCTTTAGTAAAGAACTCTTTAAACATACTGTGTGTGTGCTTTGCTTGTTAATAGCAAGGCAGTTCTGTTATATCCTGCACCATCCCTTCCATCCACAATGAGTTTATGGGTGAGGTTGCATTCATACCTCAGATAATTGACTTATATATTACTCTCTGTTCTATTGTGCTTTTGTTTTTTCCAAGACTTTAATAAACCCTTATTTTAAATGGTTCACCTTTGTCCCATCTGTGCTACTCGGTAAGAAATGAGTGGTGGGGAAGCAGAACAGGTTGGTGAGTGGCAGCAGAGGTTAGGGGAGCCACCTAGAAGAGAGAGAGAATGCTTTGTGATCTAGCTCTTCCTTCCCATGTTGGGGTTCTTTCTCCACAGGGGGCATTGCAGGATAGGCTTCAGTTATATGAAGGATGACAATTTCCTGACTGCTGGGTCAAGGACAGGGAGCATAGCTTTTCTAGAAACAGTGGGGAAAGAGAGAGGAATCCAAGGGGAGGGTGTGGGTGTGGAAGGCAAGATAGTAGATCAGTCATAGAACATTGAGGCTGAACAGAACGAGTTCTGTGGCACAGAGAAATGAAATAATTTGCCCGAGATCACACAGCGAGGCAGCAATAAATGACTCCTTGAGCAGTGCTTTTAGCTCTGCCTTGCTTGTCTGCTTAGGTCAATGAATACCCACTGCTATTGTTATGTGCACGAAGAAAGAGAAGAGTAGGTGCTGGCTCTCAGCAGTCTTATAGAACAGTGGATGAAAAGGCCACACGGACAATACACACACCTCTCCCCACACACTGTCTGTGGAAGAGACATATTGCGAGACAGGCTCAGGAGGGATGTGCACATTCGCATGGAAGGAAGACTGCCGTTGATGCTTAAGTAGACCCTCCTCCTCCTGGCTCATCTGTACCATCAGTAGGGCTGGGGAAGCCCTACTGAGGCTTGAATGGAGGGGTCCACTAGTGCTTCACTAGTGCATGAGGAGGACGGGATATTCTGCAGGGGATCCGGGGCAGGTGGGTGGAGGCCTCTCAGGCAAGGCGGAAGCATGACCCCAGGGTAGGGGTCAAGGTGCTGGCTGATTTTGGCATCCATATGCAAGAAGAGTGAGGACCAGGGGGGTTGAGGGAAAGTGGCTGCACCTGCAGCTGGCTACCAGAGGCTTCTGGAAGCCTAGTGGGCAGGAGGAGAAGTAGCCGTCCAGATTCCAGCACAGTCTGGGATGGCCCACTTGTCCTCATGGGGATGAGGGGGCCACAGGATCGAGGGAGAGGTTCTGGTTCTGGAGCCCTGGGGCAGGAAGATGTTTTATCTGCCCGAATAGCCAAGGGAAAGGCGATACTATCTCTAAATCTCTGGTATCACTTAACACTTTGGTATAAATATAAGCCACCCTGTGACCTCAGAGGCATTGGCAGTGATGCCTTATCCTTAACTGTAGAGTATAAGGCTTTGTCTCCAGTTAAGAGAATTTCAATCAGCAAGTGAAGAGGTAAGAGATAACAAAACTAATAAAAGCTAAGATTCATCAGTTCTTACTCTATTCCAGGCATTATGCTGAGTGATTTTACATGGACTCATCACAAAATTCCTTGGAGGAAGGAAATGCTCTTGGTATTGCTTTGTATGACCAGCAAAGGTGTCTTATTTACTGAAGTGGTTTATTTAGTGGTTGGATATGCTCACACAGCTAGTAAGATGTGGCAGTTCGACACCAGAGCCTACTCCCCTGACCGCTGTGTAATACTTTTCCCAATTTTGGGTGTGATTTTAGGTTGATCTAGAACTTCTGAGGCAAGTGATTTATCCACAAACTCATTGGCCTGGCTAGGCTGATGACCCTCTACTTGGGCACTGGCCATGGGGGACAGAAAAGAGGCTCCCAGTGCTGCCCCTTTCTCTAGGGGCCAGAACAAAATGGAGGGCAGAGGGAAGTGAGATGGGGGACTAGGTAGGTGGAGGAAGGCAGGAGGTTTACCCCCAGCTAGGTGGAGGGCCAGGAAGTCCTTGAGAGAACAGTGGTCTCCTTTTTCTTGCTGGAAGGTCAGCTCCATCTCATGCAGAGGCCAATTAAAATCCAAATGCCTTTGAAATCTAAATGGCTTCTGGTGAGGGTGGGTATACAGTGTGGAGCTTGTCTGCTTAGGTCAATGGAGACTAAAGGATCCTGTTGGCTGAGATCTAGACGAGGAGGGGGAGGGCCTGATGGATGCTGATTCTGACCCCTGGTCAGACAGGGCCACTGCTTGCACCCTCTGTTCTCTCTTGGGATCCCATGATTTCCAGTGGCTTCTAAAGGTCCCCTGCTTCCAATAAGGGGTTCAACCATGTTATAGGATGGAGCTCCTGGCTGGGATGGCCTTTGTGCTTTAGAATTGAGGAATTTCCTGCTTTTGCCTGAGCTTTCTTTTTAACATTCAGGTCTGGGAATGTGGGAGATAGTGGCTGAAGGGAGAGGGGGCATGGGGAGGAGTACCTGGCTAGACTTTGCTGCTCCTGCCTACTCCGTGATCCCCTACCAGAACATGGAGCCCAAGGCCTTGAGCAGCATGTAGTTCTCTGCTTCAGAGGGCATACACCTGCTCTTAGTGTATCCACTGTTGGTCACTTTCTTCGGAGACGAGGGATCTGTAGCAATGTAAGGAATGCCAGAAGTTTGTTTGTGAGCATATGGTGCTCTCTGGGCCTGAGGAAGAGGGAGTAGGGTAGGGGCCCGGCATGGGGCTGACTTAGAAGGGTGCAGTTATTCCCTCTCACGTGGAAATAAACATTTTGGATTGCTGATCATCTCCCTGGGGGCTAGGACACTGGTCAACAAAGTCAAAGTTGGTCCTGGATCTGCAGCTTTGTGTGTTCCAGGACAGGCTGGGGGTGGCACTTCCCTTGAGGGCTATTTCCCTCTCTTCTTTCACAGCTGGTGCCCTGGTAATCATCTCTTCCATCTGAGGACAGATGGAGCAGCCTGATTTGATTGAGAGGTTGGGGTTTTGTCAGGGTGAGTATGCGGGTTGGGAATTGGTGTGTGTGTGTGTGTGTGTCTTTGTGGTGGGAAATGGAATATTCAGGAAGGTGGCGGAGGAGGGAGGATTAAACTTGATGTTTCTTTGACTCCCACTGCAATGATTAGCACCTCCTGCTGCCCACAGGGGAAACAGCAGCTCCGGCTTCCCAGCCTCAGTAGGTCCCTGCTCCTGCCCACCTCCTTGGTGATGTTTCTGAAGCTGCTCAGTCCTCCTCTAATTGCTTGTGCTCCTTTGGGGATCTCCAGGCTTCTTGTTGGACTCTGGCTTCTGAAGAGGTAAGGTCAAGTGAAGGATGTAGACCTGCAGTGTGGATGGCTGGATGCTCATGTAACAGGAGTTTTGTGGGGGGGGTTAGATTGGACCTGACAATCACCATGGAGGCCTCCAAGTTCCCAGGTCAGGCCCTCTGGCAAGACTGCAGCAAGGGGTGCTGGACCAACATGAAGGGCACAGAGGACAGTCCTGTGGGGGAGAGGCTTGAACCTGCACTGTGAAGTCAGAGGGGCCAGGACATCGCATTGTCCTCGTGACTTAGGCAATGGGTGACTATACATGGAGTATCTTCCTTTGCTTCACTGTACCTTGGAAAGGGACAAGGTAGGATCCAGCAGTCCCCAGAGCTTCTGCTGGGTGGCTTTGCCCAGAGGAGGGCTCTCTATTCCCCGCTTTACTGGGGACATCTGCAGAGAGGCTGGCAGGGAATAAGCTATTCAGTTCCCCTCGGAGTTCTTTTCTTTTTCTTTTCCAAACTCATTCCAGGGTGTCTAGTAGGATCAGTGTTCAAAACTAGTGACTGTCTTGAATGTGTAAGGGCTTAGCCATTGCAGGAAGAGGGGGCAGGGGTAATCATCTAATGAGCACAGGCCAGGGACTTTCCAACAACCCCTGCCTCCCACACAGGCTCTGTCCCCATCCCACACTGAGCCCTCTTCTCCCTGACTCTTGCCCCACAGGACTTTTATTCTGAAAGGACCAATGCCCCTGGAGGTGGGGAGGTGTCCAGAGGCTGGAGCTGGAGCTGGAGCTGGCCCTGACCCTGAACAGGCCCTGCCCTCTGGGCTCTTTTCCGGGGTATTCTGGGACCCTTAGGGAGGGGCCTTGCTGTTCTCACTTCTCCCTCTTATCCTCTGCCCCGCCTTGCTGGCCTTCAAGCAGAGGATCCCTATAGCCAGGCGTGTCAGTCTTCTCCCTACCGTTGCCTTCACACCCCCATGTCCCTCATCTTCCTAGCCCTTGGCCTTGTATTTTCCATCTGTTTCCCCTTTCAATCTTTTCTAGCCTTCTTGCTGCCTATCCTTCCCAAAGCAAACACAGAGGCTAGGTCACTATTCCGAAGCTTCATAACCTCCTCCAACACTAGACAAAGGTCTCACCCTGTCCCATCCCACTTCCCCAAAATGTAGCATGGAAATATAAGATAGCCAGGATTCACTCAGACATTGGTACATGTGGTCTGTTGAACTCTGTGTGGGTGAGGCCTTGCCTTGGGCCAGGTTCTGCTGAGCACATGCAGCTTTCTTGAGAATAAGGACAGGAAACAGACAAAAGACTCTACCAGTAGTTCCTGTTTAAATTCTTGAACCCCAGTCAATTTTCCAAAAGTTCCACCGGGACAAAATTCTCACTTGTCCCCAAATACTCAAAGGTTAGTTCTTTCTTAGATGGAAAATAAGGGACCAAATGAACTAAAGAGAGTTGAGATCCATTGTTCTCAAGGGGTCTTTCCCCTTTGTCCAGTTCTTTCATCCAGGAGGCCAGACCAGGAATTGGATCTGAGGCCACTATTGAGCAATGGAGTGTGAGGAAAAAGGACTTTGGCCCGGGGGCTGCAAGTTATAGATTAACATGGGGAGGGGTGAGGAGAGAACTGGAGGCAGAGTAAGTGGCCCGAGAAAGGGACTGCTGACCTGGGACAATCTGGGCTTGAAGGGTTATGAGCAAGAGGAGTCTGGGGACCAGTGCAGTCTGGAGGGGCCCTCAGCTCTCCTCTGGCTACTTGACCTTCCTGAAGACCTGCTCGCATACTGCATCCCTTGCAGTCAGTTCCTGGGGACAGAGTAGGAATAATGAGGAGAGAGAAAGAAGGTTCTTACCAGCCAGAGTTCCTTTCTCTAGGTCCCTGAGCTCTGTTTAATCCTTCAGGATACAACAGCTAGAGCATTTGATGTATGGGGAATTGTATCATTGTCCTACACCTTCAACTTTTCACCCCCGAGGAAGGAAGGGAGCTGGGTCACAGAATGTGAAATGGCTAGTCTCCATCTTTGGTCAGGATTTATGGACATTCATCTGACTTGTAGCCAAGGCCCACCTGGCCCCTGTATTTCTTCCTCTCTCTACTCTTCCCAGGGCTTTTGTTTTCTTTTTTTGGTTGCCCTCCTTGGAGGGAGGCAGGGAGTAGAGCAGGGGACTGATCTGATTTGGGCAAGGGGATGAGTCCTAGCTGGAGGCCCCTCTCCCAGTCCTCACCCAGCTTACCAGATACAACTTCTCTCCCTCCAGCCAGTGTCTCCAGCCTCGGTTGGGGACCTCCCCTTTCTGCACACAAACCACCTGCTCCTCCTCCCAGGTTACAATGGTCTGTAGGGAAAGCAGGAATAAGGGAAGATTTGGGGGCAGAACACCCCAAATGCATCCAACTCACTCTGGCTGGGCTGCCCCCCCTTCACACCACTGCTGATACGGTCTTGCTCCAGCCCCTTCATTCTGAGTAAGATGACTGCTCTGAGTCAGCAGGACTCCCCTCCCCAACTCCCAAAGGCCACTGAGGGGGGCCCATAGTTCATCTACAGTGACTGCTAGGGCAGAGCAGGGATGGAGCAGGATAACCAGGGGCAAAATTGGGGGCGGGTGGGTGATGAAGAACAAAGACTTTGTCCTTTGGATACTTCCAGCTGGACTGGAAGGTCTTTTGGGAAAGAAGAGGATTGGTTGGAAGTCCCATCAGGGAATCTCTTTCTCAGTTTCAAGGACAGCTGAAGTGTCCCTGAGAGTGAAGGATCACCCTCTCATCTCTGAATCAGAGTGGGGTGGGCCTGGGCATTCCAACCAGCATTTATTAAATCCTCCCATAGGATAGGCCTGCTAACCAAGGAGCTCAGACTCTTGGTCAGACAGAGCAGAAAACAGGTGCCTGTGATGCCAGGCAAGTGTTGGGCATGGGAATGGGGAGGCAAGAGCTGAGTCTTCAAGGAAGTGAGGAGTTAGTTAGATTGGAGACACTGGGCAATTTCTAGCAAGGAAAGGAACAGCATAGAGGTAAGAAAGAAGGTCACATGGTTGTAAGGGGCTCTAAACTAGAGTGTTTGTGGGAAAGACCCTTGTATGCCACGGACCTCATCTGGAATGTAAGGGATTGTCACTGAGAGGGTTTCATTCATGATCACTTTTACATTTTAGGTAAATCCTTGTGGCTACAGTATGCAGAGTGGGTTAAAGAAGGATTAAGACTGGGAGGCCAGATTCAGGCACCAGGCGAGAAATGAGGGCTTGAATGAAGGTGGCACTAGAAAAAGGCTAGGAAGAATCAACAGTGGAAATATAATGGGCCATAAACACAAGCCACATTAGAAAATGCAAGATTCCCAGTAGCTGTGTTAGAAAAGGAAAAAGAAACAAGTGAAATTAATTTTAATGATATATTTTATTTAACCTAGAATATCCAAAATATCATTTCAGCATGTGATTAAAATCAAAATTACTGAGATGTTTTACATTTTTTTGGTATTGTCTTAAAAACCCACTATGTATTTTACACTTTTTTTTAAAGATTTTATTTATTTGACAGAGAGAGACACAGTGAGAGAAGGAACACAAGCAGGGGGAGCGGGAGAGGGAGAAGCAGGCTTCCCGCAGAGCAGGGAGCCCGATGCGGGGCTCGATCCCAGGACCCTGGGACCATGACCTGAGCCGAAGGCAGACGCTTAA